TAGCGAGATAATGACCATTAAAACCTAGTTAACAAATTGATTGGAATAAAAAAACCATTTATAGAATTTACGCCGAAATTCCGTGAGGTGGGGAATTTACTTAAGTGCAATTATGCCCACCTGGGCACAACATGACAGGCTGACTGCTTGTCCACAGTGTGGTAAGCTTAACAGTTCAGCATGCATACCAAAGACTTGGAGCACTTAGCGACAGGTTGTTTGTCCCCTGCGTAATGACACATACGTGTTGATGTAGCAGACCATGTTGCTATGATCACGTGCCCTTCACACTTAGTGGATTCAATTTACAATTTGGCTGCCTACTTCTGCTAATGAAATTGAAAATTAGTGAATTCAACCGAAGAAGGGGCTATCGCAGTGGGTTTAGTAAGTAGGTAAAACCCTTACCATTTGCCTCCAGAGGGGTCATATGTAAGCCAGCGTTAGGACGATGATTGATCTGATCAGATTGTGATTGGCCTTATGTGCGCACCTGTTAGCATCCGCGAGAGGCAAGCGTGGCGCGTGAATTAGAATCACCTTAAGGCACTCACCAGAAGAAGTTTATTGTGTCTGACATCTTCAAGTGCCACGCTAATTCGACAGACAGAGAGGTGCGTAACAAAGCATTATTTGCCATGAATAATGAGAAAGAGTGAAGCTGAAGGAATGATAAAAAGTATGTGGATAAGGAAATCATAGGGCCGGCATCTGAAAGGTAGAGAGCAGTTCTGAGAATTGAAAGACGACAAATACAGAGAGAGGAAGCTGGCCATGGGGATCTGTTACAAAGTGCAGCTACCAGCACCTTTTGACAGCAGAAAGTAGGTATTGCTAAACGGATTTCCACGGCTTCACCTGTGGCGAGCACCCGTATGTGCAGGCCTTTAGAGTAGTGTGTGAGTGCCTGGTATTTTACTTGAAAGGTTTCTGTAGGGTCAACTTGGTGGTTCTTATCGATAAAGTGTGTGAAGATTGAACTTGAAATCAGTCGATTGTATCGTTTGACCAGCCAGAGGGGTAAGTGTTCACGTACCTCCTTCCCCAAACATCGCCTTGTTCGGCTTATATATCCCGCTCCCCAAGATCACCCTTTATAACGCCTGAGGTATCCTTGTCGCGTTAGGTTATGTTATCAGGCAGATCCAAGTCGTGTCAGTCTGAAGGCCTGACTACGTACGAGAAGAGATGAGACGCTATTTGAGAGGAAATTCTGTTCTGTACATAAGAATTGAAGAGGTTGGAATAATTTGGGGGCTGTACAAACGCTAGTCTGGGGCCGCGAGGAAGACGTGTGGAACGTAAGACCGTGCGACCTCGTCACAGATGCTCCAGCGCGTCCATCTTGAAGATGATTGGCCAGTTAGGAAAGCCGTGATCGGTCATTACTCGTGCGCCCGTACACGAAGTCGGGAAAAGTTCAGCAGTGCAAGGTGCCGCCGGAACTGAGCCTCTTGTGCATTAATAGCAAGGGATGTTCAATGATTACGGTAAAATTACTCACGGTTTTGGCCTCATTATCTGAGCGACGCGAAATAGTTTTATAAATCACATTGGCGCCTTAAATTATACGTATGAATCGACATACAAGCAGAAAACGATTTAAGCAAATGAATACACGTTTGCACTTTGTTGGATACGATTAATATATGTTCCTCGTTCTACCGACAGATTATACGTATCGGGTATCATCCTACTGACGGTTGGAATCTTCCTGTCGGTATTAGGAGCCGCGTTATTTCGTCTTGCGCCGGCTTTTAAAAAGTGAGTTCGCAGTTTTACTTATTAGAACAAGACTATTTATAATCCAAATTGAAAAAAAATGTCTCAGGAAATGTATTTAATAACCAACAACTGTGCCTTTTTTCCATTACTCAACTGAATTGCATTAGTGTCCAACAATGCATTTCCATGAAGAACAGTATCAGTCAATCGAATTAACGGTTCTTCTGCTGCGAATTCGGCCTGTGTGAGGTACTTTTAAAAAAAACGCGTTAGTTTCGGTTTGCTGATTAATACTTGGTTACATAAAATGAAAATGAGAGTATGGAGGACTGACGGCGGCCAATAAGCCAGAAATGGCCATTCCAGAGTTCCTTCTCTCTGTCAGCAATAGCATTCTGCCCATACCATTTGTCGCTGTGCGACTACAAGCAGAGCTCTAGAATGAGCCAAGAAGGCCGAACCGAGGAGAGTACAGCAGACGCCAAAGATCATGCAAAATTCCGACATATGCGAAGGATTGATAGTCATTCGGTAATCGTCATTGACTCAGGTTGTGATACTGATTATCGTGTAGTCTATCCTGAAGTTATTTCCTTCAGGATGGGATGCCGGCTTTTTAAAGAGCTCCGTTCTGGACACTAGCAAACCGTACGTTTTTTAAAAACCGACTACATATGTAGTATGCCTTTTTACAATTTATTTTGACTGCCTTTATAAATGCAAATATATTTTATAGAAAACAAACACGAAATTTTTTTCTCATACGTGTTTGATAGCAAATTACGCGTTCTTTAAATTTTATACTCAAAGAAAG